TTCTTTGATTCTTAAAACATCAACATGTGACCCAGTCACATCATGTATCAAGAATCTCATAATAGAAACTTAGCAGAGTTAGATAGTGGACTTTACCTGAAGTAGAGTCAAACATATTGACTTTAACATCCTTAGGTAAATTTGGCAGCTTCGCAACCAATGCCCCTTTCTTTGGCAATATAAACATATGGACCCTTTGGTAATGGGACTATCTCAGACTTAACTTTTCTCTTTACCATTTGGTCAACCGAGTTGACTATGGCCGATCCATTTCCATTGGGAAGAGAATGTTTTTTGGATTCCCAGTGTCATCATTGTCAATGTCCATAAAGTTTTTAGGAAGTTGATCTTAGCAAATAGATAAGATCATTAAGGGTCTTGTCATAGTCTGTTTCATAGGTGTTCCAAAAGAACTCACTATGTGACTTAGAAAGTAGTTGAGCCACCAACTTTCTCAAGACTTTGACACCCAACTCTCTCGGCTTGTCAATATGTGACTACATCTCCAAGATGTGATCACACATAGACCTTTGCTTGCCAATAGGGCTTGAGTGACCTTAAACTTTTCAGGAACTTGTGGGTTAGGGAGAATAATTGGAGGAGGTGAAAGAAGTATGATTTCCATGGGACATCATCTTCATTTAGGAAAGCTTGTTTCAAGAGATTTGGGAAGATCATAAATGTCTAAACCAGACATCTTTTGGGAGATACTCAAGATAGTTGATTTAAAGTCCTTAATATAACACCCAATATGAAATATTAAGGCTAGGACCCAACACAATACTTTTATAACTTGGAAGAGGGATGCCGTAATCCAAGCTATAAAATATTTGAAGGTAGGCGAATGACGATTCACCAATTTCCACCATGAAAACGAAATATATATTATTAGGTTTTAATTGGTTTTTGAAACTCCTAGATCTTTGAGATTCATTGAACTGTTCAATGGCATGTTTCAATCTCGAGTGTGCCCTTCAGGTTTTGTGACTGGGATGTCGAGGATCACAAAACAAGGTGTGAAGTAACCATGCAAATTACTTGGTACCCTTAAGTGTTTACCCCTCAATCGATGTGCCGGTTAACCACACACGCTCCATCGATACTATGATAAACATTAGGTTACCCTTTGCCTACCTTGTTAAATACGAGTTGGTGTGCTGGTTAACCACACATGCTCCACTAACCGACTTAAACAAAGTGCAAAGTGTAATTTCATGGATTAGCACCTTATTCACTTTTTCCTAAGTAACTAAGATTGGGTATTTATAAAAGGTTTAGTTACTTAGTATTTATCATTAATACTTTTAATGAAGGGAAAAATTATAATCCTTGTCCTACCCGTTCGGCTAACGACCCTCCACCGGTCAAGGAAGCGGTGGGTGAGAGTGGACACCCATTAAACTGCCATTTTATAGGCAGTAACCTTATACCCCCCTTATAGACCGGCTTCGTGAATGAGGCCTACTAACGGTAAGACTGACTTTGTTCTTATATATATATATATATATATATATATATATATATATATAAGTATTAACTATTAATATTATAATAGTATAAGGGTGTATTTTAAACATTTAAAATACTTGGTGGTTTAATCTATTAATTAAACTATACTCTTAATTTAATTAAACTTAAACCATGTCTTTATGGAATTATTAACTCTTTTAATTAGACACTTTAATTAATTTAATGAAGTCCATAAAGTTTGAACTTTAACTTTTAAAATTCTTGGGTTTGGAATTAAAGTGTATATGGGGTTTGACTTTACAAATTCCAAAACTTGAGGACAAGTTTTGAACAATTCAAAAAACTTATGGTTTCCATAACTTATGAATTTTAAAGTGGTTTAATGGAAAAAACCCTTCAAGTTCCATAACTTGTAGACAAGTTATGGAAGACTTTAAAAGCATTAAAAATGTGACTCTTCATTTTTTCATAACTTATGGAATTTTTATGGGTTTTAAAATTCATAAATGTGACTTTTCATGTAACTTGAGGACAAGTTACAAAAACACATATTATGAACAACTTCAAGATTAATTTGGATTGAAAACAACTATCTCATAATTTTTCCTATTAATCTAAACAAACTCATAAACATGAACATTCATAATCAACATTTTTCAAGCATCATATAAACATGTATAAAACTTGAAACTTTGATTATTATCCTTTATTTGAATGAGAATAAACATTACCATAGTATCAAAAAACAAATTTTATGAACAAAAACACTTTGCGGTAATGATTCTAATCCAAAACATGCCAAAAAACTCGAAGATAAGCTGTCAGGGGGTCCAACTCGTCGAGTGCATGAACCAACTCGACGAGTTGGATGAATTTGTTCATGGACTCGTCGAGTCCATCACTTGACTCGTCGAGTCTGCTGTCCCGACAGCAAAAAATTCGATTTTTTTCAGTTTTTTTTTCAGCAACTTGCATCAAGTATAATTGAAAACAACCCATGGCTCTGACACCACTGTTGGGTTTTGGTATACTACAACATCCCATGGTGCACATACAACCCTAAATACCTTGGATCTATGTTTTCACTAATTATACATGCAAATGGTTTCCAAGGTATTAATCTTACAACTAGCATGCATTTAACATAAAATTATAATATACTAGTTAGCATGACATACCTTTTGATGGAGCTTGAATTCTTGGTGTATTTGGCCTTAAAGAGCTTAGCCCCAATAGTGTGGAAGCCTCAAATGGAATCACAACACACCATGGACAAAGGATGAACTTGAGAGAGAATTTCATGCACACAAAAGACACCATGAACTCTAAAAAGATACAAGTGGCGATTTTGGGCAATGAAGTATCTATTTATATGTGGGATTTCTAGGGTCATGGATATAACCCAAATCCATACCCATGGGTTTTATGATCCATGGTTAATGTGGCCCAACTCTTTATGTATCCATACATAAACTTGGTCCAACATGGATCATAAGCCCAACACATATAAATATAACTAATTATCATAATTAGTCCCCATAGATTTAATTAGTCTCTTTCGACCACTAAATTAATTCTAAATTAATTCTTGATCACTACTAATTAAAACATATGATTTCATATTAATATATTATTACTTATAATATATTAATAAACCATAAATAACCTTCTCTCAAAAGTCCATCCTAACAAATTGTCCTGATGATATGCAACCCAAATGGACCATGCTACTCTCGGGTCGAATACATACCAATAATAGTTATGGGCTTAGACACCTAATCCAACACTAAGCTTATCCAAAGGCCTTATCCAAGCCCATTGGACGAAATCATTAGGGTTTACCCTATAGATTTCATCCACCCCCTTCCAGGGAGGTTCTGGAACCTTCCACTCAACTATTAGATAATTACAAACTAGTCCCTGCACTTTATAATTAACACAATTAACCCCAAAATTAATTCTAATTAATTTCTGGCTAACTATTAATTAAATATTATGATTTCTAATTAATACATTAACATTTTAACATATTAATAAATCATTTATATTAATTTATTAATCTTATAATAAATCAATATCTCTCCTTTCATAATTTCCTTGTCCAGTTGCTAGGTTTGAGGGCAACCCAAAAGGACTGTGCTGCTATCAATTCAAGTACATACCAATTATAGTTATGAGCTTAGACACCTAATCCAACAGTCTCTCACTTGGATAAGTCTGTAATTATAATTGCTAGTATGACTTCTAAATTTGACCAGCAAATTGTAGCTTCCAAAAGCCGTTGCTGAACTCTGACCCAGTCAGTTACATGTCCTAAGATAAGTGATCATATAATCCTTCGTTCTGCAAGATTTCCCCAGACATAAGACATGGAATGTAATCAATCTCTTTGTCCAGAATCTATGTTTCCCGATTTCTGATTTTTGATGATATAGGACTTCTAATTGAACACATCAATTTAGTCCTGGCTGGGCCCATCACATAAGTCAACACCAAATCATCGAGGGGCCTACAGATATCGCTTTTCCCGTTAGGGAAAAAGGAACGAATAAACTTTGACTCATGTGCTTGTATCTTTCACTCATCAAATTATACATGACAATGCATTTTATAACACTAAGTTACTGATGCGTTTTCGTATCACCAATGTATAACCGACTTGCAAATTACAACTCATATATCTCCATTTCAAGATTATAAGATATTATCGTCTCAATATTACTCGTGATGAATTCAACACTACAAGAAAAAGACCCTTTTACGACGCGCAAAACACGACGCTCATTGATTTATGTTACGCAAAAGAGAGTGACATTAAAAAAGCGTCATCTCTTAAAAAATTTTAAGGATTTAGGGCGCGCATTAATGGGTGCCCTTAAATTAGTGTCTAATGTGAAAAACTTAAAAACACAGAGGGCACTTTATGTAAAATGAGCATCATCTCAATAAATGTCGCCTTATAATTTTAATGAAAGGCGCACGTCTCTTGTTATAATAATCGAGGTTACTACTAAAATATCCCAATACTTGGTGTTCATCAGTCACTTCACTCTCTACAATCGATCGACTCTGAGACCTCGACTCGCCTCCCCTTGCAGACAACGTCTCCTCCGACGACGTTAGGTTACTTCTCTTCCGGCTGATTTCGCCTCGCCGACGACCTTGGGCTCAACTGACATCATTGGAGACTGCTCAAATTTTCGTGCCCTAGGTCCAATTAAGGTGTTCCTGTTGAAACGATTTAGGCAAAGTAAACTTCCCGGTTGGCCAGAGAACCAAGTACCAGAAGAGAAATAGCAAAAGAAAGTCGACACAAGGGGAAGAAGCACCTGGTAACCATGAATCTGATACTAAATTGAACACATTCAAGGGTTTCTCACCTACTGAAGCTTCTCAAGTTGAACACAAGGTAAATCTCAAGCTTCTCAAGTTGTATGTAATGTTTTTATCCCCTTCTTTCATCTTGCGAACATTTGGTCTGCTTTTTATCCCAAACTTTCACCTTTTCCTCAAGGTGAAGAAAGGATTGGCTAACCGTGTAAGTATAATGTCAGTGGCCCGAGAAAAGAGACGAAAAATCCCTCAAACTTCTCTTTATCAAACTCCCCTGTGAGATGTTTCTCTTCAGGTTCATCAAACTTTGGCTCTTCTTTGGTGCTTAAAACAAGAGTCTTCCCCTCAAGTTCTTTCAACTGTCCAACATCATCTCTAAGCAATCCAACGAGGTTAGTCTTGTTTACTTGGCCAGATTTAACCGTTTCGTTCATGTCAAGCTCTACATCCATAGCCTCAAGTTGCTCATTTCTTTCAACTGATTTCACCTTCCGTTTGTTGACCTTCTTTTCTCTACTTCTAGTTTCATCAACAACCTTCTCAATCCTTAAGGCTCCATCCCAATTAATAACATAGGTTTTCTCTTCTATGGTGTCACCCAAATCCTTCACTTCATCTATCAACAAAATATCTTTGCTATCACATGCTTTTATTGTCAATAATTGTATATAACTCTAGTAAGCTGATTTATTGGCTAGAAATCTGTAACTTAGGCTGATAATTAGCTTGTGTATTGAGTATATATTGAGGATTCTTCTTAAAGAGAAGACACATCTTTTTCCCAAGAATTGGAATTGTGGATTCAGTTTTGTTGGAATTGGTTGACAATTGGGACGGAATTCAGTTCTGTTGGATTTTCTTGAAATACCATTTTTAGTAATCTCTTCGCAACCAAGAATTGGAATTGTGGATTCCAAGGAAATTGGAATTCAAGATTCCATTCAATGGTGCATTTGGTTGAAAATTCAGACAGAATTCAACTCTGTCAAATTCCTTCAAATTTCAAATTTGATGGACTTCAACCATTCATGAGGGCAGGTGGTTTCAATTTCATTACTTTTTTTTATTAAATGACGAAAATACCATCAATCACGGTTGAAATTTGGACATAATCTTTCCATAAAAAAAACACCAGAAAGCTTGTGATTCATCTTTCATGATGAATTACAAACATTAGCAATCACGGTTGAAATTTGGACATAATCTTTCCTAACAACCTTTAGTTTTCTGTTTTTTTCTTCAGTTTGTTGGTACCCTGGATCTTAATTTTGTGAAGTTTACTCGGTGCCACCATTAGGACCGATACCTCAGACATTGATTCAATCTGGTGAAGATTCAGAATCTGTTGAGCAAGTTCTTCACCAGTAATTGTCCACTCTCACCTGTTTTGGCATCTCGAGTCTTTTTAACTTTAATCTGATCATCGCTCCATGATTTTTTACAACTTATTTCCTGAACATACCCCTCTACATGTCTAGTAACATCAATTTATGCATCAGTTATCACAGTACCATGATTTTTTACTCTTATATTAGACTGAATACGATTCCATTTGGTTGTTTCTCTTGAATATATATGCATCAGTTATCACAGTACCATGCTTCAAATCCTTCACACCAATGTTCTTCACATTGAACCCAACATTGTATTCAGATAAAACTTCGGTGACAGGTTCATGGTACGCAAGAAAACATGTACTCCCCACTAACACCTCATGTAGTTATTATATTATGTGCTTAGATGTGTTATTAATCATTCAATAAGCTGCATATTCGAGTATCATTCTCTTAAATGTGTTAGTACCTTATGTGGTAAAGTGATGATAGCATGTTTGAATTAGTTTAAAGTATAATATCCAAGCTTGCATTATGTGAACCTTCCTTCACACATAACTTGCTAAATGCTAATGTTTGTTAATTTTTTCATAATTGTGCATTGCAATATGCATATAGTTACAATGAGTTACAATTGTTCTGTTACTTGCTGCAGCCTCAAAGGGTGATAAAGCAACAATTGTTCTGTTACTTGCTACAGCCTCAAAGGATGATGCTATAAGAAATCTATTCAGTGCGAAAACCATTCACGAGTACAGCGCCCACAGCCTGCTGACCTTTCTGGTATCCCTCACCTCCACTTTTACTTGACATCTATTTCGTGAAAACAAAATAATATTTAATAAATAGCAATTAGGAATAGGATATAGATTGGTATAAAGAAGCCTTCTAAAATGAAACTTGATGCTTGCATATTTGACATATTGTAGGTAATTTTGTGCATATTGAAATAAGAATTGATTAATTATTGCAGTTAGAGTTTTTGGTATTGTGAAAGACAGTTTCTATTTGTTTTGTAGTAGTAACATTTAAAAAAGAAGTTTGAATGAAAAGTAGGAAATTTTAAGTAGAAGAGAAAAAGTAAGCAAACAACCAAATTACAAATGTAAGATTGATGATATAGAAACAAATACGATGGTAAGTAAATTAAAAGATTAGAGTGACATCATTGTTAGTTAAATCTGTTATTGTTTTGCATGTGTGTCATATAAACATGCGGGTCTTGGGTGCACATATGTTATAAGAGAGAAACATTTTTTACTTTCTTGTCCTTTTAAATAGATATCTATCAAATGAATGGATGGAAATAGATAAGGGCAATTCAGTAAATAGATATGAAAAATATTATACTTGTGCTAATGGTGATATTCTTGGACTCACACCAGCTTCACGCTCCATGTGTGCTATAGTGTATGTAATTCTCAGCTCTCTACATTAAAAAAGAACTCATCACAAGCAGAAGAAAACTATCATTTTGCAAGAAAAATAAAAAATAACACTACCCTCTTATACTATCTGACATAACAAACTAATAATATGAAATGCCCAAAATACCCCTAATTCTCCTTGCATTAGTAAGATGATCTTTATTTGTCAAGAAAGGCCTGTGGGCAGTTTGAACATATGGAGACTTTCTTGAAAGAGCAACCTGTCCCATAAGGCAAAAAAAAATCAACATCAGAATTTTTATAACCAACGGCTGCACTCCAGAGCTTTCAGCTCCACCTCCCCTCATTAAATTTTTCTGTGTATTGACCATGTTAGCCTGGCATAATTCAGCTAGTTCTGAGAGAACTTTCTGATGAGATTCTTTAAGTTTGTTTTCATGTGCTATGGCTGAAAGCTTCTGTTAATGAAAATCTCAAAATCCTACCTGAGAAAGAATATCAAGATCAATAACTTCATGAATCTCTTGTTTTTGGCTTTGAGGTGACATCCCACAAAGCCCATCTCTCACTTCCTTCATTAACATAACAACATGAACTTGATATCAAGTTTCTTCAAGGACCGAAATATGCAACACTATAACCAGTACCAAAATATGCAACCACGATTCATTCCATAAATGTTTATTTATGCAACAATGTCTCACTCTTTTTACCAACTTATGCAACAATGAACAATGTTTCACTTTTTTACCAATTTATGCACTAGTGTTTGACCTTTGTACCAATGAAAGCAACAATGTTTCGCTTTTTTACCAATTTAAGTAACATTGTTACACTTTGTTATAAATTTATGCCACAATGCTTCAGTTTTTTAACCAATTCAATTTATGCAATCGACACATATTATTATTGAACAACACTTGGAAAGGTTAAACAGGTTACCATTTATTTGGTCCTAAAATGAAATGGTGTTGCATATTTTGTATAAAACCCACTTTGTTGCATAATTTGGGGAAAAGCATAAATATACATTTAACTCCATATATAATAATGGAAACATAAATCTACACATTGAGATTGGGTTTTCACTTTCCAGTCCATTTCCATAAAAGCAATATAAATAAATATATCAGCAACTGACTGACCTGTGTCAAGGTGGTTGCATCAGCAATGACAAATTGAACATTAACAAAACGAGCTAGAGTCTTTGCAAGTATTGTCTTCCCTATTTCACAAATCATAGAAGCATAATAAACAATAAACAATAGGATTTATAGTCGAAGAGACAAGAAATATTATTAGAAAAAGAAACAAGAAGAAAACATCCTAATGATCATACATTCCTGTAAAGAGGCAATATAAATCTTTATTACTAACTAGAACTATAGCAAAAAATAAAAAATAAAGCTATTTAGCAAATTATGAACATAAAAAATATCACCAATAAATGTAGTTCTAAATAGACTATATGTATACATTACCCAGCAATCAAAACATCTTGGTGGGTCATGGTTGAAAATTATTGCATCACATAGCTGCTCAAGTCAATACAAAAAAAGATAAGAAGACAACTTTAATTACATAACTGATGACATAAAAAAATATATATAAATAAATAAATTAAAGTTAAATATTAACTGGAAAATAAAGAAATAAAGTGTACTTTTTTCTGTTTTATAGAATCCGAGATTCCATCCCAGAAAGCTTTTTGTCAAGATTGGCCCATGTACAATTTTTTTGTCCCTGTACAGTTTTGGCCCCTGTACAGTTTTGTTTTTGCACAGTTTTTGTCCATATACATGCATAATCATTGTTGCTTTAAATGGTATATAATTATGTAGGTTGGAAACAAATGTTTAATGGATAAATTATGGATGTCCTCTAGTAGATTATCAACTTCATATGATGAAGGCGTGAATGCTTTTCTAGAGTTTGCACAAAGAAATAATCCAAACTTAGATGTTATTCCATGTCCTTGTGTAAATTGCATCAATTTGTGTCACCACTCAATTGACAATGTCCGCTATCATTTTTGTTTGCCCATGGCTTCGATGAAAATTATAAGATTTGGTCTTTCCATGGAGAAAAACAACCCAAGAGTGATTCTAGATGCCCTAACAATTCCATTCCTCTTGATGCTATTTATACAAAGGATATGCTACATGATGCCTTCAAATATATAGACGAAGAACCTGATTCATTGAAATCACTTCTTGAAGAATGTGATAAGCCACTTTATGTAGGGTCAAAGTATAATGCACTTAGTGGATTATTGAAATTCCAACATTTGAAGGGTCAGTTTGGATGGTCTGATGCTAGTTTTGATGCTTTGTTGTCTGTCCTAAAAGATATCTTACCATCAAAGAATATCATCCCTAGCTCGATATATGAGTCCAAGAAGTTGCTAAAAGGAGTAGGTCTACAATATGAGAAGATTCATGCATGTGAAAATGATTGTGTTCTATTCTGGAAAGAACATAAAGATGCTTCTCAATGTCCAACTTGTGGCACTTCTCGTAGGAAGAAGAATACCAAAAACGTACCTTCAAAAGTTTTGTGGTATTTTCCTATCATCCCTAGATTTAGAAGAATGTTTTCAATACCATAAATTGCACATGACTTAACTTGGCATGCACAAGGTCGGGTCAATAATGGGAAGCTTACTCATCCTCGCGATACCCCTTCTTGGAAGCTTGTTGATAACACGTGGAAAGAATTCGGACAAGAAAAACGAAATCTTAGATTAGCCTTGTCTGCTGATGGTATCAATCCTCACAAGTCATTAAGTTCCAAGCATAGTTGTTGGCCGGTTATCCTAATAACATATAATCTACCCCCTTATTTGTGTATGTCAAGAAAATTCATGATGTTGACTCTGTTGATATCTGGGCCAAACCAACCTGGTAACAATATTGATGTCTACTTGGCACCATTGATAGAAGATCTGAAACTCTTGTGGGAAACTGGCGTTGAGACTTTTGATTCTTATAAGAAAGAATACTTCAATCTAAGAGCAATATTACTTTGGACTATAAGTGACTTTCCCGCATATGGTAATCTTTCGGGGTGTGTTACCAAAGGTTATTATGCTTGTCCAATATGTTCAAAGAATACTTGTTCACAATGGTTGCCAAAGTCCAAAAAAGTATGCTTCCTTGGGTATAGAAGATTCCTACCACTTGAACATCATTTTCGTAAAAGAAAAAAACATTTCAACAATCAACATGAGCACGATTTTATGCCACAACCATCATCAGTGATGTTGAATCATGAAAAGTGACCCTCTTGAACTTTAGCTACCGCAGCCAACAAGCTACCGCAGTCAAGCTCCCTCTTCAGCAACCGCATCCGAAGTCATCAAAGCCAACCGCAGTCATTCTAATTTACTTAGTTAATTTGTCTTTCTGTAATACTCTCTATTGTCCAGTATGCCTTGCATGGCTACTCATAGAGATTGAATCTAATGTAACTCCTTGAGTCTCTATAAATAGAGCTCATTCTATTGTATTCAGGAGATCGATTAATTCTGAATACACATCTCTGAAGTTATCTTTTCTATCTCTCTATCTAATTACTCATCTCTTCTTACTCACAAATCTTACTAGAATACAACTGATCACAATCTCTCTTCGGAGCAAGTCTCTTAGGACTTAATCACTAAGTTTGATCTCACTTATTAACTTGGCATGAATGCATTCCTTGTTATGAATCAACTTATGTGTATACTTGATATAACAATTGTTGTCATTTTCATTTCTTTAATTTTCCACAACTAACTCTCTAACTATCTAACTCTAAATATTATTGTTGAGCTTTTAGATCCTTCGAGATTAACTATTCCGCAATATACTTGTTCTAACGTTTGTTCAAGTGTGTCTCAAAGTTTTTCTCTCAACAATTGGTATCAGAGCCATAGTGGTTGCTTTTTGAAAACGGAACTTTGATTTTCAAAGGGCCTTCTATACCACTGAAGCTCATTTCTTAAAACAAAAAAAATATGGCACAATCGTTATCTCTGAATGTTTCCAACAGTGTTGGTGGTTCTAATCGAGCCCCAATACTGGTAGCAAATGAATATCATCACTGGTCCCAAAGAATGGAAAGATACTTAAGGAGATTTGGTAGAGATGTATGGCGATCCGTAGAAGAAGGACCACATGTCCCAGTCCTTACACCAGTCCAAACTGACGGCGCTACAACCAGACTAGGAGGAGGTCAACCAGTCATGAACCGTCCCACCAAGGATGATCTCGATAAAATGGAAAATGATGTTGTTGCTTTTTATGAAATCTCTTGTGGAGTTGATCCTGACAACTTCGATATTATCATAAATTGCAAATCAGCAAAAGAGATCTGGG